TTCAAAATCTGCATGCGCCAACATCAACGCTGCACCTCGTGACAAGTCAACTTCCGACGCATGATTTGTCTGTGCCAGATCATTTCGTCGAACTTGACACTTGTCTGCACAATGGCCGACCTTCTTACACTTGAAACAGCGCACTGTGCGTTTCTTTGCTTTTCNCTTCTTACACTTGAAACAGCGCACTGTGCGTTTCTTTGCTTTTCCGCCTTTCTGCCCATCTTCCCTCAAATCTAATTTTGAGTAGAGAGCATCACCTATATTGTGATCATGGCGTACTTCACAACCACTGCATTATCGGCAGATCTTCACGGGTCGATTTCTACTTTCTTCTTCGTTTGCGGCACCCAACGACAAAAGATTTCGACCCAGCTTTGGAACGTAAAGCACATCTGTTAGCAATACCAAACCGCGATTTTGAAATCCACTTCAATATCGCTCTGACCTTCACGCATAAATAATCTGATTATTTCCAGCTCTGATAGGCAAATGCCCATCTTCCAGTTCTTGGAAACGTAGTATACAACGCACGCTACGTGTGGTGCTCGAACATCTCCGCTGTCGCCAATCCATGCGCTCTCTCTAACCCGAAAATTTGCCGCATTTTCAAATCTGCATGCGCCAGCATCAACGCTTGCACCTCGTGACTGTCAGCTTCCGACGCATGATTTGTCTGTGCCAGATCATTTCGTCGAACTTGACACTTCAATCTGCACAATGGCCGACCTTCTTACACTTGAAACAGCGCACTGTGCGTTTCTTTGCTTTTCCGCCTTTCTGCCCATCTTCCCTCAAATCTAATTTTGAGTAGAGAGCATCACCTATATTGTGATCATGGCGTACTTCACAACCACTGCGTGTTGCTTCTAGAAGAAGTAACTGTTCTCGCAGTTTTTCAAAGTTTAGCACCTGGCCTGATGCCGCTAAGATAAAGTATTGTTCCCGGAATGAACCAAATCTTGATGGAAGATCAATTACGAGTTTTGATACTAGTAGCGAGTCAGCTACTATTTCCCCAGCTGTCTTTAGATTTTGCACAATTATCGACAAATCAGCACAATAACTTGATACCGTCTGATTCTCACTGACTTCAGCGCATGCAAAGCCTAACCCAACAAATATTGACTTGTCACCGTTTAGCCTCGTAGAATGATTTTTGTTGGGGCGAAACCTGCGTAGCTTGTCTTCCTGGTTCTGAAGACGGTTTGCCCGATTTTTGTTAGCGATGATCAAGCGACTCCGACTGAGTTTGGCCAGTCTAACATCGCGCTCCAAGATATGATAGAGATGTGGTGGATGAGGTATGCAGTGAAGAAACTCTTGCTGATTTTAACCGTTTATTTACCGTGTTACTTGCACATGAGTTGAAGAGCGAGTGAATTTTATAAATCAAGTAAATGCAGATCTTGGGGACATTCATGCTAACGTTGCAAGAATGATGCAGCTGCAGTCTGGACTAACCGGGAGAACAAAGCATATAATTGCAGCTGTCCTCTGGCAGGTGTTTTGCCAAATGCAAATGATAACAATTCGCCGCGTTATCAATACGTTTGTCGGACTTGGCCCGAACAATTTTATTGCTTCCCAAATTTCCAGTGATTTCTCACATTTCCGTATACTTGCGTGATCATCGTCACTGAGGCCCCCAGTTAGAATTCGTTTTGCCCTAGCGTCACTCTTTCGCCATTCTTTAGCTTCCTTTCCATGCGTCCTTGAATTTGGACATCTAAGTTTTTACATTTTCGCAGTATGTATTTTGCAGTTCCTGTAATATTAGCAAGTAGCCACTGTGTTTGACCTGGCCTTTTACAGGAAAGTATTGTTATGAACAAGAGTAATACTCACGAACGCAACTATAATACTAATCTTGTTTTAAGCACAGATTTTTATGTTTGCTTACATTTGATATCTTTTATCTAATCTATTATCAAAACTTGTAGGAGAGAGTAGGGTCCACGAAACAATAGTTGCGAATAACGCGTAAACGGCATCCCTACCTCCGTTCTGGCCCCCCCAGTGCCACCTCCGACAAATCACGCCAATCGGCGCGTGTATCATTGAGATACGCCGATGTTTTATATTTGTGTTCCGCTGATTAAATTTTACGTCAACGCAAATTAGGAGATAAGTGTCAAAGATCTTGCAATATTTGAATAAGTCTTTTATATGGTCTTAGTAAAACATTCAAAATTGTGATGTGCAGTTCTGATTACATTCTGGAAAAATTTTTGTAATTTTTGATAACAAAATCAATACAATATCAATACAAACTATTATTAATAATGATATTAATTTTAAATTTTTTAAAATTTAATCAAATATTTGAAAACAAAAATTACCTTAAAATCAGCTTCTTTTAGAATATTTAAAATGTGTTCATAAGATAAGAATGTGTAGGTAGTACTAGAGATAAGTAAATTTTGACGAAATCTATAGGCAAATTCAACCTGATGATGATGAACATGATTATTAATCATCAAACTGCTTAAGAATGGCAATAAGTAATATAAAAAAGTATAGTAATGAATACATTCAGAATTAATTAATACTTAAACAATTGTATATTACCATTCCAGGGGTAATTTTTTGCTATGTTTATATTTGTTTCAATTAAACATTTTGTTAAAACATTTTTAGTTTTTAAGTTAAATTTATATTTGTGCTTAAATATATTCAAGTTATTAAATGTCCAACATTGGATTAATAATCATTTTTGAAACACATTGCATGAACTTTGGCATTTTCTCCAGTTTCAGTAACATTTGCACACAATACATTAATGTTTACTTGTATGTAATAGCAATTGGCTTATAACAGTAACAATATAGGCAACACTCGCATACGGCTAGGAGCTAAAGTACTTTAGTCACGGCCTTAGACATCTTTAATTTTGTTACCAAACACTAATATAACTTGTTTAAATATTAACATCTTCAATATAGCATATCATACATTATTTACAAAATTTTTGCTTCCTATCAATATGTCCTTGCAGTTTGTAGGAGACGGAGAGAAGGAAGTGTTATCAGACGATGTAAAAAAAAAAACTGTCTGATACCACTTCCTTCTCCGTTCCACCCACCAATTATAAAAATAACTTATTATTCCTTTTATCTATACTTCAATCGTAGAAATAAATATGTGCAATTTATTTTCCCTAAAATGAAAAAGAGAAATGAAAACCGTCCAGTCATAATAATCGGAAAGGCTAAATGAAATTACTTATTAATTTATTATAAAATATTTTAAGAGGCTATATTGCTTTGGTGTAATCCATCACTGGACCACACATTACTTCATTTGCTATCACCTGAATTTGCTATAAAATAAAATTTTATTGTTTGCTTAAATATATTAAGTAACAAGTGGCTAAACGAGGGTATTACGGACGAGATTGAGAGCGAGCGGTCAACCAATCTAGTCCTGGACACCGTGTAGCCACGTGGTGCTTACGTTATTTTTTTCTACTTCCACTCTAGTTCCACGTTGCGGTTTTTGTATTTCAACTTTTGCATTTTAAATCATCAAAATTTGCTTGCACACTACTACAAACCGTAAGATAATAAATGCCGTGCCGCCCGCTCATTTCATACCGCCTTGTGCTGCTCCGTAGGCAAATACGTAATAATGTATAATGTAATAATGTAATAATGTATATGATTTACGACTTGGCCGTCCGTATATAAAGTACCACTTTTTGTATCTAAAAACCGTGGAAAAACTGGCGCTTTATAGGTGGAAGTAGAAAAAATATTAAAATGCGACTGTATACTTTACTTTAGTTCATAATATTCATAATAGCTTTCCTGTAAAATATATTGAAAGACACAGTTGCTATGTATTCGTACATACCTTACTAGAACTGGAGAAAATGCAAACATTCATGCTACGCGCTGAGTGATGCAATCGAAAGAACCACGCCCCACGAAATGATTGAACCTATATCAGGTATTGAATCACATAATAATATTTTACCAATGTATTGTAACAGAGGCATAAATCTGTAATTGTAACGTTAGTGTTTCACAGAATTCTACAAATAATCAAATATACTGACTTTGAATGTTGTTCATATTAATCTGCGACAGAGGTTCCATCAGTAGCAGGAGTAACAATCCAATTGAAAAGTACAGTTCTTAGAACTTCTATCATTGGTGATGTAAGCAATTATGTGGGTTGAAAATTAGCCCACTGCCTCATCTAATCTAAAATCATACATTTGAACAAATTAGAACATTATTCTACTAGTAACAGCGCAGTACTAAATGTGATCTCATTATGATAACTATCTCAAGTTGATAAAAATAAGTGTTTGGATAGTATCAATTCTAAGTAATGGAAAAAAAAATTAAACAAGTCTTTATTTGTATTGATTTTAATACGTATGTTGAAGTGTTTATTTATTACAGATAAATTCAATTAAGTCAAAGCAAGTAATAACTCAATCAATAAATTTGAAATGATGGTTTTCAGTGTGTCTCCGCTTTTTATTAAAAGCAGTTTCTTGCTGATTTTTAAAACATAACTTTTAATTTTTTAACACTCGTACAACACAAACGAGTCTGTTAGCCTCCCAAATAAATCCGTTGTTATTCATCGTTCATTTTCTGCGTCGTCAGCATTTAAATGTTGATAAAAATCAACATTAGATATATTTTGTAACAAGTATATTAGATATCATTTTTTATAATTCTAAAATACCACGAAATTATGATCAATCTTATGAAGGACTGTAATTAACACAATTAATGTTATTACGATATAATATCTAACATTTAATTTTTTTAAAACTTCCATCTCAAGTTCTGACACAGAGTGATACTTAAAATGCGTTTGTTGCTAATACTATGGCTGGTAACTTCCTATTGCAATTATATACAGGGAAAATCAAATGTATTGTTTGCAAATGTTACTGGAAGTGGACAAAATGCCAAAGTTCACGCAACGTGTGTCAGTGATGATTACAACGATGCAATTGCATGGATTACATTTCCCTTCACCGAGATGATTGAACCTATTTCAGGTATTTAATCGAAGAAATATATATACTTAAGCAAATATAAATTACAATTTTATTTTATAGTTAATAAGACCTTGCGGTATATCGATTTTAATTGGGGAAAATATGAGTGGAACGAAGAAGTAGCCTACAACGCATCGTTTGGTCCAGTGATGGATTATACTTGGGAAAGTAATATTTTAATTTTATATATTTTATAACATACTGATAATTAATTTCCTTTAGTGTTACCAATTATTATAACCCGATCTGCCCAACTGACACAAAATTATAAATTTGAAAAATTAGAAGAAATTAAAATCTGAAATCATTTTGAGTTCAATTTTTCGTTTTTGGGAAAATCAAGTGCACACATTTATTTGTGTTCACATCCAATGATAAAAAGAGGTACATGTTTTATTTTTATTGTTGGTGGGTGGAATGGACAGGGCAGTGTTATAAGACGGTGTAGAGAGGGCGCGTCACCAACCAATTCGGAAGATAGATTAAGAGGATGCGAAAATATTGTAAACAAGGTATGCTATATTAAATATAATTGCTTAGGTATTCATAAATTCATTGTAGATTGAACATAAAGCATTATTTTCAATTGACAAATGGAATCAAATTTCTATTCGATTCATAAATCAACAATTAGAAGTAATAACCACTGATAAAAATTTATTATTATATCACGCACAATATGATGGAGAATTTAACAATTATACAAACGTATTTATTCATTCAAATACCGAAAATGCACTATGGAAATATCATAAATGTATGAAGACAAATTTGAATGCATACTTAAGTGTTTTATTCAATTATTATTTTAGATACATATTATGAAGCTCGTAAACCCAACATTAATTTTATTAATAGTAATTGGTTTTACATGGCTTCTAATTACTTATGTATTTCGTTTTTTGTCAATTCTGCGAAAGGTATTACATTACAACTGTATGATGTTTCGCAAGAGCTTATTAAAACAAAATACTATAGGAGTGATAAAAACACACAATGGAATTATAAAACTTTTGATTCTGACGTATATGAAGATGCTGAATATTATTTACGCATTTTATTTAGCCCTGAAGACAAAATAGCAATTCGAAACGTTGTCAGGCATTTAGACTGCAAAGGAAGTAAAACGGGAAACTATCATTTCTCATCATTAGAGTACAACTTTGATTTAGCAAATAATATTAAATGTTCTTCTCTTCGACACAAAATAACACCAATTAAAATTTCATTGCCAAACGAGAGTACTGGTGTTTTCTCGAGTGATAATCAGAATCATTGTAATATATGTACTGATTTCCACAACACTACTGAATGCCCACACAGAATAACGTGTACTGAGGAGTTATGTTATTGCCCAGTAGGATACACCGGAAAATATTATAACACAAGTAATAAGAACAATTCAGATTTCGGAACACATTCGCAAATATTACGGTTTATATATTCTTTCAGAATGCGACAGAGGAAAGTATGGTTGCAATTGTTCATTTGGGTGCGCCACTTGCATTTCGAACTTTTGCCATCCTATAAATGGTGAATGCTACTTTGGTTGTAATGATTTAAAATATGTTGCACCGTTCTGTAAACAAAGAAATCTACCAGTGTTAACTGGTATTGCATCAACACAAACTGCTTGTGTCACAAATTGCACAATTACTATCTACGATAAAGAATTAAAATATGATGGTGTCCAGGAACCAAAATATTATTTCACTCGTGTATTTGAACCAAATGGAACTATTACAGAAGGAGACTTAACATCAATTGAAGTCAATTTAGTTAATTTTACAAATTTATTTAAAGAAGTGAAATATAAATATGAGATAGTACTGTGTGTTACTGATGAAAAATCTGAGTGTTTTATTGATGATTTGACAACATTTGAATTTGAAACTACATGTGCAGGTACTTTATATTATATTAATATACACATTACTGTAAATCTTATTGTAGAACTGCAAACAGATCAATTTCTAATTGAAAGTGTCGACAGACGTACGACAATAAATGTGACATCTTACAATACCAGTCAAAATTGTCTCTTAAATGAGTATTACATGTTAATTCGCGATGAAGCTAGCAATGCAATTCAGTATTCTAAACACTTAGAACTGAGTAATACTATTTTATCATTAAACATATTTACTGATTATACACTGCAAATAACTAAAAACAACGAAATAACTCATAACATCATATTTACTACAGATGAATCGGGTAATAATATTGATAAACTTAGTAATATCTGGTTCATCAATTTAATTATAATTTTGTTTTAGTTCCAAACATAGTTAGAAACATTACAATAATTTCTTCATCTTCTAGTAAACTTAGTGTTGTCTGGGAAGCACCAACACCGGTTTTAGGAATCATTACCAATTACCACGTCACCTGGATGGTAAGATACCAATATCTATTTGTCTAAATGTAAATTTGAATTTTTAGTTTCTTGCCAAAAGAAGTTGTGAATTGGAGAATCAAAATTTAATTATTTTATCAAGAAATGTGACAGCTACTGCAATTGCATTAGATAATCTTAAACCATATTCAACTTATAATATAACAGTATCAGCAGTTACCAAGAAAGGTCATAGTGACAATCATAGTATTTTAGGATACACAGATGCAACTGAAACAATCCAATTAAACACATTTAATCATAAAATTATTACTTTTGAAACTTTGATTCAAATAGACTTACTTGTTTGACTGCGCATGGCATTTCATACCGTCTTGTGCTGCTTCGTAGGCAAATGCTCAGGCACCGCTTAGTTAGTAAAGCTCGTTATTAAAGTACTTTAGTCACTGTTTTGGCCGTCCGTCTTTCAAGTACCACTTTTTAAATCTAAAACCGAAAAAAAACTGGTGATTTAAAGGTGGAAGTAGAAAAAATATTTTAAAGTACAAATAATAATTCTTAATTTGAAGCTATTGAATCCCTGCATGTTAATTTTAATTGGAACAAATACGAATGGGCAAACAACGTAGCAAACAACGCAACTTTTGGTCCAGTGAGGGACTATACCTGGGAAAGTAATATTAATTCGATTTATTTTATAACCCATTAATGATTAACTTTCTTTAGTGTTCCCAATTGTTATGACTAGGTCGGCGCCACTGACGCAAATTTATAAGTTTGAAAAATTAGACGAAATTAGCATCAGGAATCGTTTTGAAATCAATTTATCGTTTATGGGAATATCAATTGCCCATATTTATTTGTGTTCAAATCGACTGATTAAAAGGGGTGAATGCATTATTTTTATTCTGGATGGGTGGAATGGAGAAGAAAGTGCTATAAGACACTGCAAAGAACGGGCATCGCCTATAAACTCCAAAGATAAGTTGGAACCATGCGAAAATATGGTAAATAATTAATTTGCAATATTAATTTGACATTTTGAGATGATATGTACATAGGACATTTTTAGTTTGATCATAATCGAATGTTTTTAAATGATCAATGGAATCACATTTCTATTCGATACATAAACCAACAATTAGAAGTAATAATCAATGATGAACATTTATTATCATACTATGCCAAAGAAAATAGTGAATTTAACAATTTTAGCAGATTATTCATACATTCAAATACCGAAAATGCGATGTGGAAATATCATAAATGTAAGTAAACAAATTTTAATGCAGAATATGTTTTATGAAATAGTTGTTTTATTATTTTAGACACATACTATAAAGCCCGAGAACCGAGTTTTAATTTTATAAATAGTAAATGGTTCTATATGGATTCTAATCATTTATGTATTTCGTTTTTTGCAAATTTTGCAAATGGTATTACATTACAACTGTATGAGGTTTCGCAAGAGCTTATTAAAACAAAATATTAAAAGAGTGATGAAAACACACAATGGAATTATAAAACATTTTATTCAGACGCAGATGAAGATGCTGAATATTATTTACGCATTTTATTTAGTCCAGAAGACAAAATAGCAATTCGAAACATTATCAGGCATTCAGACTGCAAAGGAAGCAATTGGAACAATTTTCATTTCTCATCAATAGAGTATAACTTTGATTCAAGAAATTCTATCAAATGTTCCTCTCTTCGAGACCAAACTACACAACTTAAAATTTCGTTACCAAACTTGGATACTGATGTTTGTAATAATCAAAATCAATGTAATATATGTACTGACTTCTACAACACTTCAGAGTGTCCACATAGAATAACGTGTAATGAAAATTCATGTTTTTGTTCAAAAGGATACAGTGGAAAATATTGTGAAGAAGGTAGAGATATCAGTTAGGAATTAGGTATGCTCTCGCACACATTACTGTTTTTGATTTGTTGCAGAATGTGAAAGAGGAAAATATGGTTGCAATTGTGCATGTGAATGCGTAAATTGCATTTCGAACTTTTGCAGTCCTGTAGATGGTGCATGCTACTTTGGTTGTAATGATTTAAAATATGTTGCACCCTTCTGTAAGAAAAAAAATCTACCAGTGTTAACAAGGATTGCATCAACTCAAATGAATTGTGTTACAAATTGTACAATCACAATCTATGGCAATGAATTAAAATATGATGGTGTACAAGCACCAAAATATTATTACACTCGTTTATTTCAGCCAAACAGAACTATTTCAGAAGGAGAATTAACATCAATTAAAGTCAATTTAATTCATTTTACTAATTTAATTAAAGAATATAAATACAATTATCAAATAGTTTTGTGTGTTACTGATCAAAAATCTGAGTGTTTTAATGACGATTTGACAACATTTGAATTTAAAACAACATGTGAAGGTACTTTGCATTACTTTAATATACACATCATTGTAATGCTTTTTTTTAGAATTACACAACGATCAAATTTTAATTAAAAGTTTGAACAGGCGTACGACAATAAATGTGACATCTTACAATTCCAATATAAATTGTTTCTTACATGAATATTCCATGTTAATTTTGGATGAAGCTAACAGTACGGTACAGTATTCGAAACATTTAGGACGTAGTAATACTATATTATCATTGAACATATTTACCAACTACACACTGCAATTGACTAAAACCCACGAAATAACACATAACATTGTATTTACTACAGACGAATCGGGTAATAATATGGAAAACATTTGTAATATCTTATTCAAAAATTTAAATACCATTTTGTTTCAGTTCCAAACAGAGTTAGAAATTTAACAATTATTAGTTCATCAACTAGTAAACTTAGGGTTGTCTGGGAAGCACCAATACCTGTTACTGGAATCATTACCAATTATGTGGTTACCTGGATGGTAAGCTACCAATATCCATATGCCTGAATATTAATTTAAATTTTTAGTTGGTTGGCAAAAGAAGTTGTAAAAATGGAAATAAAAGTGCAAGCATTCAATCAAAAAATCTAACATCCACTGTAATTGAATTAAATGATCTTGCGCCATATTCAATTTATAATATATCAGTATCAGCAGTTACTAAGAAAGGTCGTAGTGATATCCATAGTATTTTAGGATACACAGATCCAATTACGACAACAGAAACAATGCAATTAAACAAATTTAATCATAAAATTACCTCCCTCAAAACTTCATTACAAATAGACTTAGTTGTTGATTGTGAAAATTGGAATGGTCCAATCTATCTAAACGCATATGCTATTTGTAAAAGTGAATGGTGTGAAGGACAATGGATTAATGCGACTAAGCACATGCAATTTAATGATAATGCTACAATTAACAATTTACTTCCATTTACTGATTACAAATTAGATCTTTATCAATCTTATAAGAACGGGGATATATTTGATAATATTTATAAATTATTATCAATTGATGTGAAGACACTACGTACTGGTATGTCTGCTTTAATTGCATTATACAAAATATTACTTTTAGTTTAACATTACTTCTAGTTCCAAATCAAATTCCATTTATGGAAATTTATAGTTTGTCGGAAATAAGTTTATCATTGAGATGGAGTGCACCTTATCCACCAACTGGAATTCTGGATTCATTTATAATAAAATATCATTACACTTCAGAGGGAGATAGCACGTCTCAAACAGATATCAATTCTTTGAGTCCATGCAAAATATGGCCAAATATGTATTGCACTACATTAACTAATCTTACGGCAAACAAGAACTACATTATATCAATTGCTGGACGTAATCAAATATCTGAATATGGATTGGAAACAATTTTAAATGAAACCACGTTGATTAAAAGTAATTTATACATATATAAAATTTGCAAGTTAATTAATTAAATGTTTCTTTTAATTAGCCCCGCAATCACCACTGAATTTGGTTATAAATTGGGACGAGTTTCGATTTCTTCAATTGCAATGGCAACACCCTAATAAAACAAATGGACCACTTCTAAGCTTTGAAGTAATTGTTAATGGTCAACATTATTTATACCAAGGACCGGAAAATACCACATACACTTTTAATGTAAGTTGCAATACTGGTCAAAGTATATTATTTTTATACGCGAGTCGTGGTAGCAATGTTAGTACAAAAAAAAAACACAAGACAATAATTTAGCAAGCAGATACACTTCGGGCAGCGTGACGAGTTTTGAAAAAATAGGTGGGAACTGTCTTTTGGAGTTGAAAGTTGCGGTATTTAACGAAAGAAAATTGGTCATGTGACATAGTTTACTTAGACAAGATTGGTGGAGACTGAAGTGGGTTGGGAAGACGGAGACTCCGGAGATACGGACTAGAATGTTAGTGGATACATGGAAAGGATAGGATTGCATTGCAATTTTAATGTTTAAGCATTTGTCAGTATTTCCAATAGAATGCATATAAATGAAACAATTCAACCAAGACAAAAGTAGGTATTATAACAATAACTATAAATATGAAAAGAAATTAAGAAGAAACGTACGCATTGCTATATTATTAACATCGCAAATCTACGCTTTGACTGATAGTAATGTGTACCTAGCTTGACATCAAAACTACCATATTAAATTCATGAAAGTGTTTACATTTTACATTTGTTTTTATTTCTATTGTTTCAGGCACAGTTTCAGTGTAATCCTGAAATCCGTCATGCAAATGTTTCTATTCAAACAGTCAACTCAAAATTCCGTTCTGCTTTATTGACTCGCCTATTTATTTGCCCAATTTTTAAGCCATCATTACAATTTAAGCCCTCCGCTATACACAATAGCAACAAATCCATAACTATTTCAATACCGGCTATTGAAAATGATGAAGCAATAAGCAATTTGTACATTGTTCTACTTGTCACCGAATCGGACAATACTCGTACAGGTGATTGTAGAGCAAAATTAGGAAATAATCATGATTCAATTATTTCGGTAAGAAAAAATCAAATATGTTGGATAATTGGGCATTATGAACAAAGAGATTACAAGGAAATTGAAAGAATGGAAATGAATATTAACTTAACACAAATACCTGAATTTAATTGTACCGAGAACTCGTTTGAAGTAAACATACTAATAGTCAATAAGTTGGATGACCAAATGTCATCTAATTGGTATCTTGTTAACCAGCGACAATTGGAAGATATAAAATTCTCAAGTATTTTATTGAGTTTGATTGTATTAACACTAATAATAATAATTATTATTAGTATATTGGGTTTATTCTTATGGAGAAAGAAGCGACGCCAAGAAAACAAGAACAAAGACTGTAAAATATATGTTGAAGTAATAATCCCACTAGTTCCCATGAAAAAAACAAAGTCGACTAAAGAAAAGAAGGCGAAATGCTCACGACCGGTTGTTGTTCGGGATTTTCATGAATATGTAAGAACATTGGCTAATAAGCCAGAATTTGCTATGGAGTATAACAACATTGTGGCATTAACTAAGCAATGGGATATTAATTTACATCGGGTAAAAACAGCTGCAGAGTGTTTAGATGCCAGTTATATATCTGTAAGTTTTTTGCCATAATTATAACTTATGTAAATAACTTTGTATTAACAATTAATTTAAAGAATCCTTTATGTGATAAGGCGTATATTTTGTGTTCCATTCCAACAACTTCATCGCACTACCAATTTTGGAAGATGATTATTGATGAAAAAGTAGAAAACATTGTCCTCTTTGCGAGTATGAATGATATATGCAATGTAGGCATTCATCTAACACATTCATGGTATAATAATTAATTATCGTTTTATATTTACAGGTAAAGTTTGAAAAATACTGGCCTGACTACCGCTCAAATAAATCAGTTTCATACTCGGACGGTTGCCCAAAGATTAAAATCACAACTTTGGCTGTTAAAAGATTATCTAGTTGTGATATGCACCATTTCAAAATTGAGCAAGACTCCCAACACAGACAGTTTGTGTTATGTGGAAACAATTTTTAAATGGGAAACCACGTTGTTAAAAGTAATTTATACATATATAAAATTTGCAAGTTAATTAATTAAATGTTTTCTTTTATTTAGCCCCCACAATCACCACTGAATTTGGTTATAAATTAGGACGAGTTTCGATTTCTTCAATTGCAATGGCAACACCTAATAAAACAAATGACCCATTCTAGGTTTGAAGTAATTGTTAATGGTGGCATTATTTATACGGGTTAGGAAGTATTTGCATACACTTTTAATGTAAGTTGCAATACTGGTCAAAGTATAATTATTTTTATACATGAGTCGTGGTAGCAATGTTAGTACAAAAAAACACAAGACAATAATTTAGCAAGCAGATACACTTCGAACTTGGCGTGACTTGATTTTGAAAAATAGGTGGGAACTGTCTTTTTGGAGTTAGAAGTTGCGGTATTTAACGAAGAAAATTGGTCATGTGACATAGTTTACTTAGACAAATTGGTGGAACTGGGGGTGGGTTGGGAAGACGGAGACTCGGAGACCACGGACTAGAATGTTGGTGGATACATGGAAAGGATAGGATTGCATTGCAATTTTAATGTTTAAGCATTTGTCAGTATTTCCAATAGAATGCATATAAATGGAAACAATTCAACCAAGACAAAAGTAGGTATTATAACAATAACTATAAATATGAAAAAATTAAGAAGAAACGTACGCATTGCTATATTATTAACATCGCAAATCTACGCTTTGACTGATAGTAATGTGTACCTAACCCGACATCAAAACTACCATATTAAATTCATGAAAGTGTTTACATTTACATTTGTTTTTATTTCTATTGTTTCAGGCACAATTTCAGTGTAATCCTGAAATCCGTCATGCAAATGTTTCTATTCAAACAGTCAACTCAAAAATTCCCGTTTCTACTTTATTTATTCGCCTATTTATTTTCCGATTTTAAGCCATCATTACAATTTAAGCCCTCCGCTGCCACAATAGCAACAACTCCACTTAACTATTTCAATACGGCTGTGAAAATGATGAAGCTTAATAAGCAATTTGTACATTGTTCTACTTGTCACCGAATCGGACCAATACTCGTACAGGTGATTGCAGGCAAAAGGTAAAATATCATGATTCAATTATTTCGGTAAGAAAAATCAAATATGTTGGATAATTGAGCATTATGAACAAAGAGAATACAAGGAAATTGAAGGAATGGAAATGAATATTAACTTAACACAAATACCAGAATTTAATTGTACCGAGGACTCGTTTGAATTAAACATACTAATAGTCAATAAATTGGGTGACCAAATGTCATCTAATTGGTATCTTGTTGACCAGCGACAATTGGAAGATATAAAATTCCCAAGTATTTTACTGAGTTTGATTGTATTAACACTAATAATAATTATTATTATTAGTATATTGGGTTTATTTTTATGGAGAAAGAAGCGACGCCAAGAAAACAAGAACAAAAACATTAAAACACATTCTGAAGTAAAAACCCCACTAATTCCAATGAAACACATAAAGAAAACTCAAGAAAAGAATGCGAAATGCTCACGACCGGTTTCTGTTCCCAATTTTAATAAGTATGTTAAAACATTGGCAAATGAGCGCGAATTAACTATGGAATATAACAACATTGTTGAATTAACTAAGCAAAATGATACTAATTTACGTCGGGTAGAAACAGCCGCAGAGGATTTAGATGCTTGTTATATAAATGTAAGTTTTTAGTTGTGATTATTACTTATGTTTATAACTCTATATTAATATTTATTTTAAAGAGTCCTTTAGGTGACAAGGAGTATATTTTGGGCTTGGCTCCAACAACTTCATTGCAATACCAGTTTTGGAAGATGATTATTGATGAAAAAGTAGAAAACATTGTTCTCTTTGCAAGTATGGAGGATATTAAGAACGTACGCATATGTCTACCACATATAGAATAGAAATTAACTATTGTTTTATATTTATAGGAAAAGTTTGCAAAATACTGGCCTGACCACTGTTCAAATAAATCAGTTTCATATTCAGACGGTTGCTCAAAGATTAAAATCACAATTTTGGCTGATAAAAGATCATCCAGTTATGATATGCACCATTTCAAAATTGAGCAAGCTAGTACTGTTGTGAAGACTCGTTTTTGGCACTTTACCAATTGTGACAAAAGAGGAACATCGAGGCATCTGGACAGTTTTCTCTTATTTCTACAAGGTCTACAGTTTATTGAGCGCTCTTTACAACATCCCATCTTGGTGCATTCTATTTGCGGACTTAACGCTAGTACCGATTTGTTTATATTGCTAGATATTTGTATACGACAAGCAAAACAGGATGGAGTTGTGGATATGTGCTATCAAGTCCGAAAGCTCCGAACACAGCAACCAAACTGCATTGCCACTGTGGAAGAGTATTTGTTTGCGCACCAATATTTAGATAAATACTTCAGTCTGCCATCATATGCTTATGTATATGATCACAATCCCATCATTTATTTTGCTAACAAGTAAGAACGTACTCGTATATGAAATTTAACACAAGAAATAAAAATTATTGCAGAGGCATATAGTAAATCTGCAGTGACGCGCATATCCACGGTTATTTATATTTAATCGCAAACCAATATCTAGGAGTTTCTTTAATATTAAATACATATATTGAATTAAATTAATTTAATATTATTAATATAAACATTAAAAAACAATTTAAAATAATAAAATTACTCTAATTGAATCTGCTGGTGCAACAGGCGCAATTTAATGACAATTAGGATTTCCGGTGATCTGGTGAAAACTGGGCGCAGATTAAAATTTTTACTTTAAGGTGGCAGATTGTATCTGTAACGCGAACAAAGGCTTTCTTGCTTCTGCAAGTCTGGGAGAGCGGGAGAGTTTGCAGGTTCCCGGTTTCGACATGCAAAACCCCCAAAGGTCGTCACTGTTTCGTTAGTGGCGGAACGAAAGTTCCGCCAATAATAATATCATCTTGGCGCTCTGTCTCAAGTTGAGTATGCTGAACTGCTCTGAATTTGCCCTCTACCTCTTCTTGTTTTTGTCCCGTTGATTGCAATAATACTTACTGGATTTGATACGTTGCAACGTTACCCAATTAAAAAATAATCAAAATGTAATTAAAATTTTCTTGAACAGAACCGTCACCCAGGTGATAGAGCGGTGTGTGGAGTTCAGCTCGGGTGACCAAAGTATCTGCGTTTCCACGAACTTTGGCCACCCTTTCAGGAACAAATTATATTAGTGAGACCCACAAAACATGATATAAAACAATCAATCAAAAATAAATCGAAGAAAGCTACGGAATTTGTTTCGTTTATATTTTAGATAGAAAACGCTTGTATTGAAAAAAGAAAAGGGCTGTCTTTCGGGTTTTCTCGACAAATTTAACATGGATTACGTACTCAAAACAGAAAAATAAAATGTCATGTGTCGGAGCGGTACGACATCAATTTATGTGGTCACATGGATGGTAAGTTGTAAATAAATGCAGGTTCTTTTAAGATGAACTGATCATTCAATTCAAGCAATTCAAACTTATCCGCGAACATTTTGGTCGACAAATACTATTTTCAACTTTTTTTATTCTATTACAAATATATTGAAAAAGCGTACAGTAAGTGTTTACTTAACTTTACTTAACAAATATATTGCTTATTGGAAATCAAAATAATATCTGTGTTTGATATTTATATTTAAAGAAAGTGCAATTAAATTTAACATTTTTCAAATTTGTTCAATAAATATCAATAAACAAAAATTATAACCAAACTAAGAAACTGTCGTCAATCTTAGCACAACAGTTGTACGTCAATTAACTTTGATGACAAATGAAGATCGCGATGTCCATTTAGCGTTTATCAACACAGTAACCTTGTGTTGGAATACAAAAAAATATTCATCAAAATCAGTTTAGGCGATTCGGATATATAAAGATATACGATTTTGCTAATTTCAGTAGGCGCGTCGCCAGCTTGTCCGTTGAACCAATCTAAACTATTTTATATTTAGTAAGCTAAGTAAAGTAAACACTTACAGTACGCTATACCCTCACAATATGGTTATGAAAAACGATATACAGTAGAATCTTGATAACTCGAATGTCAAGGGAAACCAAAAAAAATTCGAGATAGCAAGTTTTCGACTTAACAAGAATTTCGAGATATGAAGAGTTAACTCATCAAATTTCGACATCAGGTAAAAAACAGCTGCAGAGTGTTTTAGATGCCAGTTATATATCTGTAAGTTTTTTGCCATAATTATAACTTATGTAAATAACTTTGTATTAACAATTAATTTAAAGAATCCTTTATGTGATAAGGCGTATATTTTGTGTTCCATTCCAACAACTTCATCGCACTACCAATTTTGGAAGATGATTATTGATGAAAAAGTAGAAAACATTGTCCTCTTTGCGAGTATGAATGATATATGCAATGTAGGCATTCATCTAACACATTCATGGTATAATAATTAATTATCGTTTTATATTTACAGGAAAAGTGTGAAAAATACTGGCCTGACTACCGCTTAAATAAATCAGTTTCATACTCGGACGGTTGCTCAAAGATTAAAATCACAACTTTGCCTGTTAAAAGATTATTGAGTTATGATATGCACCATTTCAAAATTAAGCAAGCTAGCACTGTTGTGAAGACTCGTTTTTGGCATTTTACAAATTGTGACAAAGGAGGAACATTGAGGCATCTGGACAGTTTTCTCTCATTTCTACAAGGTCTACAGTTTATTGAGCGCTCTTCACAACATCCCATCTTGGTACATTCTAGTTGCGGACTTAACGCTAGTACCGATTTGTTTATATTGCTAGATATTTGTATACGACAAGCACAAAAAGATGAAGTTGTGGATATATGTTATCAAGTACAAAGGCTCCGAACGCAGCGACCCAACTGCATAGACACTTTTGAAGACTATTTGTTTGCTCACCATATATTAGACAAGTACTTCACTATGTTGCCATATACCTTCGCAGATGATCACAATTCCAACTAATAAAAATTTAATGAAAAAATATGAAAAATTTAGCAAATGCATAGGTATATCTGGTGTGACGCTGATATCCCGAGATGTTTCAAATCGCAAAAACCTACCTAAGAGTTGCTATAGTTTCAATCAAAGTTTATTTTTAATATTTTAATTTATAAAATTGAATAATTATAATTTGTATACTAGTAATTGAAATTAAAAAAACAATTTAAAATAATTCAACTAAACAAATTGAAGGTGCTGGTTGGACGTGGACCAATAGGTCCGAAAGATTTTAGCAATTTATTTACAACTGTACGTCAGATAAATAAAATAAATTATTAAGAATTTAGTAGTATTACAGTCATTTGCGGACATATTTGCCACAAACATTGCTAAAGTAATCTCCTAATTAACATTGAATTTGAACACGATCTTGTTTTCCAATAATAATATCATCTTGGCGCTCTGTCTCAAGTTGAGTATGCAGAACTGCTCTGAATTTGCCCTCTACCTCTTCTTGCTTTTGTCCCGTTGATTGCAATAATACTTACTGAATTTGATATGTTGCAACATTACCTAATTAAAAAATAATCGAAATGTAATTAAAATTTTCTTGTACAGAACCGTCACCCAGGTGATAGGGCGGTGTGTGGAGTTCAGTTCGGGTGACCAAAGTATCTACGCTTCCACGAACTTTGGCCACCCTTTCAGGAACAAATAATATTAGTGAGACCCACAAAACATGATATAAAACAATCAATCAAAAATAAATCGAAGAAAGCTGCGGAATTTGTTTTGTTTATATTTTAGACAGAAAACGCTTGTATTGAAAAAAGAAAAGGGCTGTCTTTCGGGTTTTCTCGACAAATTTAACATGGATTACATACTCAAAACAGAAAAATAAAATGTCATGTGTCGGAGCGGTACGACATCAATTTATGTGGTCACATGGATGGTAAGTCGTAAATAAATGCAAGTTCTTTTAAGATGAACTGATCATTCAATTCAAGCAATTCAAACTTATCCGCAAACTTTTTGGTTGACAAATACTATTTTCAACTTTTTTTATTATATTACAAATATATTGCTTATTGGAAATCAAAATAATATCTGTGTTTGATATTTATAATTAAAGAAAGTGCAATTAAATTTAATATTTTTCAAATTTGTTCAATAAATATCATTAAACAAAAATTATAACCAAACTAAGAAACTGTCGTCATATCTTAGCACAACAGTTGTACGTCAATTAACTTTGAAGACAAATGAAGATCGCGATGTCCATTTAGCCTTTATCAACACAGCCACCTTGTGTTGGAATACATACAAAAAATATTCATCAAAATCAGTTTAGGCGTTTCGAATATATAAAGATACTAGCTGACCCGGCAAACTTTGTTCCGTCTCGCTTTGCTCTTGTGATTGAGAAGCACAATGTCGAGTCATACTAACACGGCGCTTTTCACGTGCAATTTTTTGTTCTTCTTCAGTCCTTTCATTCGCAATCCTTTGAATCCTAGTTGCATTACGGTTTGGTCGGATAAGATTTGATCGTTTTGGTCGCTGCATGTTGAGTGGGGAAGCTACGAAGCATCGCACGAAGAAGAGACGGAGAAAACTCGTTTAGCATCTTCCAAAGAAGTTTTCACTTCAAAAAGTATTAAAAAAAGTATCCTACACTTACTAAGTCTTATTCAAACAAACACATCAACAGGGCAACTTTAACCAACACGTACAAACCCACGCACGTCTATGCTTAGGGGGAAGCTACGAATCGCACAAAGAGGAGAGGGAGATAATAGAAAACATTATATTTGTGTGCTCTTTTTCTCACGTAGGCTAAACCATATAAGCGAATATGTTTGTTTCCTATTAGTGTCCTTGAGTGTTCTCTAAAGAAGTTTTCACTTCAGAAGTATCCTAGTAACCTGCTCCAAACAAAAACATTAACCGGTCAACTTCAACCCACACGTACACACATACACACGTCTATGCTTAGGGGGGAAGCTACGAAGCATCGCATAAAGAGGAGTCGGGGATAATAGGAAACTTTGTATTTGCGTTCTCTTATTCTCCCGCAAGATAATCCATATACGCAAATATGTTTGTCTCTTTTTAGTGTCGTTTAGTGCCTTTTTAGAAAAGTTTTCACTTCAAAAAGTACCCCACTACCTTCTCCTGGCTCTAAGCTACCTCTCCACCAATTTATAGCTAAATTGAATTAGCCGTTCTTTAGTTATAATGGAGGTAACCAACACGACTTTCTTTTATATATATTTGTTTGTTACGAAAATTCGACCTGCGACTTGCGAAAATTAGCATAAAAGATGGATTTTTTCACCCTTTTTCGTGAAATGTTTGTGTTTTTTGGGTTTGCATGTGATCTTGTTTGCTAAGTAACTTCAAAATGGCCGCCAAAGTTTGCCCGTTTCTAGCATTTTTTATTACGTGCGGTGGAAAATATGCCATATCTTGGGAACGCTTTGTCATATTTTAGTTTTTTCTATATTTTATGATAGGACAAGAGTGCATTTTTAAGATGAACCCTTGAAGCCCCGCGAAATTCGGTCGTAATTGCCTCAAAATGGGCGCCAAAGTTTGCTCCTTTTTTGCATTTTTCAAAACACGCAGTTGAAAACAGGCTCTATCTCGGGAACCCTTTGTCATATTTTAGTTTTGTCTCTATTTAATGATAGGGCAAGAGTGTATTTTTAAGATGTACCCCTGAACCTGAACGCTATGGACGCTATGGTGCACGGTAATTTAAATGTTACAATCACAAATTCCCTGCAACTAATGTTGAATGTTATAATAAACACTTTATTTAAGATGTGAACTGTATTGTTCAGTGGTACACAAACAATGACACTCAATACGATGATTTCTTTTGAGTTACTGTTAATTTTACAATGGCGCAATATATAAAGGCAATTGCGCACGCGCAAGCTCCATAAAGTACTTTAGTCACGGCCTTGGCCGTGCAACGCATGAGATTCCCGAGTGTCGTCGTTGAAATCTCCTCACGCCGTATGCAGCAGTTTCTACTTTAAACTGTCGCGTTGTTGCTTGATCCGCTACGGCATCCAGGCGGGTTTTCACCGACTCGTATTGTTTCTTCGGACTTTTGCTTTCTAAATTTGCGTTATATTCGTTCATCAATCGAGTATTTAATTGTAACTACTTAGTAATGTGATTTATTAAATGTGCGTTTAATGTACATTATTGTAAAAAAGTGGTAGATGTTTGATCGCGTTTCGTGTGCGTAGTAATGCAAGAGTCGAGGATCGGTTTCGGTCGTTAAATGAATTGTATATAGGATGGTCCCCATATAGATTTATTGATCATTATCCCTGCGTAAGTAACTTTTAATTCAACATCACATACTGCATTTCTTCTATGATGTATGAATATAATATTCTAAAATCTTATGAAATGTTTCAACTTTTCTTTTAATTACAGCAGTTGCTGTGCCCTGGTCACTGATGCGCACAACAATTCGTAAGTTTATAATTCAATCATATTTTTCATTATAATTTGCGCGTGTAACATTTATTACCTCGTTACGCACCTCAAAATACCCGCAAAAGTTGGCCCATTTTCGAATTTTTCAAAACTTACTGTGGCAAATGGTTCATATCTCGCGAACCCTTCGATATTAAGACTATTAAGATTAAGACGCTGCGATCAAAAAAATGAGCAAAAATTGAAAAATGTCACTTTTTAGTACTTTTAGTCGCGTTTCTTGACCTTTTACTATTGGAAATATAATTATTTTATATTTTTATCTGATAGAGAATTTTTCAGTCTTTCATAATCAGCAATTCGTGGGTTGCTATCGCTTTTAGTTTAAGAGATATTAATGATCGAAAATCGTCGATAAAGAGTGTATCAAGCACCTTTTTCTTAAGAATTAAAATTTCATCTCTCAGATTTCCGTTTTAACTATCCTATCTTAATTTTATATTTTTATAATTATTGTTGTGGATATTAATTACTTTATATTAAATTTCTTTTAGTCGAATTTTCCTATCAATACTTGGAAGCAAAGATATTGTATAAAATATAAAATTAGCCAATTGGCCGGTTTAGCCTTTAGCTGATTAGCCTGGCTAATTTCGGTTAACCGGCTAAGCCGAGTAGCAGCCAGCTAATTAGCCAGGTTAACTTTAAGAAGTTGAACTCAAAAGAGGCTTGTGAAGTGGCTGTCCAGTTAGCCCCCCACTTAAAATAAGGGAGGGAATACAGAGAAGGTATTATGAAGTTGCCATAGATGGAAACAGATTATCAAACAAAACGGCGCATATTTGAACTAAATCCGATCACTGTAACACTTTTTATAAAGCATTGAATAAAGAGCAAAAAAGTGGAAGGGAGATATTTGACAACGTTTATTAACTTGGCTTAGTAGTATTGTGGGCTACAAGACGAATTTACTGTATGCTAATATTAGGCAGTAAACATGCAAAAATTCAAGCAATGTGTGTCAGTGATGATTACAATGATGCAATTGCATGGATTACACCACCACAAACTGAATTCCTAGAACTTTTGTCAGGTAAACATTTCAATCTTAAATAAAATATCTTAGAAATAGAATTTGATGTTATAGCCAATAAGACTTTGAGACATGTGAATTTTGATTGGGCTAATAAGATATGGTCCGTTGAGCCGGCCTATAGAGGATTGTTTGGCCCAGTCCTAGATTATACATAGGAAAGTAAATTATTTACAATTCGCATTTTGCTTAGTTTACATCCTAATACAACCATACACAACCATACACAACAAACTAATGGAAAACATCACAATACCTGAATATCAAAATGGATTTGCGAAAGAAAAATCTACCATAGATGCTATACACATGATGAAACAGATTCTACAAAAAACAACTGAGCATAACCAGAAAGTGATAATCATCTTCATAGATTTTAAAAAAGCCTTTGACTCCATAAACCGACAACTAATGGGAATTATACACTCACTCGAGATACCAACAAAGGTAAAGGCAATGATCAACATTGTCACTGAGAAAACAACAACATCAGTAATTACGAGAAGCGGACAGACAAGGGAATTCGAAACAAATAAAGGGATAAGGCAAGGAGACATACTATCAGCCACATTGTTCACACTAGTAATCGATCACATACTCAGAAATATACAAAGAAAGGGAACATTAAGAAACAAACCACTACAAATAATTGCATATGCTGATGATATTACAGTGATAGCCAAACAAAAGTACCTGCTTGAAGAAACAATGAGGGAAATTATGGAAGAAGGGAGAAAAATTGGACTATACACAAATACGGAGAAGACAAAGGTAATGATCACAGGAGACGAGGAAACAAGTTCAATTAAGATAGGAAACCATATGTACGAGTGCGTAAAAACATTTAAATACCTAGGAGTCACTATCAACAAGAAAGGTACAAACACCGACGAAATAGCGGAGAAAATTCAAGCTGCACATAGAGCCTACTATGTCAATAGAAAGTCACTAACAAACAAGACGCTGAGAAAAAAAACAAAACTGGGAATATATAAGACCATTATAAGACCAATTCTGATGTATGCAGCAGAAACATTCACGTTAACAAAACAAGATCGAAACAAAATGGAAATTGCAGAACGAGCAATATTAAGAAAAATTACAGGAGCCGAACAAAATGGATGATGGCACAATTAGAAGAAAAACCAACCAGGAATTGAATGATGTAATGGAAGGGGAAAACATCATAAGAATAATAAAGAAACAGAGACTAAGATGGGCCGGCCATATCATGAGGATGGATCCAGACACAATACAAAGGCAAATAACTGATTGGCAACCAACATCCAACAGGAAGAGAAGAAGACCTCGAGAAAACTGGTTACAGCAAGTAGAAGACGATCTCAAACACCTAGGAATAACAGAATGGAAAAATAAAGCAAGAAACAGAAGAAAATGGAAAGAAATTATAAAACAAATATAGAATACGGTTGATCCGCCGAATAAGGATCTGTAAATCTGTAAATTTAAGATGGCAATGTTACGCCGATTCAATTCGTTCTGTTTAATCTAAGACATACTTTGTTTTGTAATAAATGGCGCGTAATTTAAATTGGAATGTTGTTAATGTAGTTGAGGAGGAGGTGTATCCGACATATATATATATATATATATATATGATGATAGGATAACTCGAGTTTGTGCCTCTCAATCACAAGAGCAAAGCGAAGCGGAACAAAGTTTGTTGGGTCAGCTAGTACTTGATAAATACCTGAGATTGGATTAATAAATTGGGCGGATGGTGGAGTAATCCATGCAATTGCATCATTGAAATCATCACTGACACACGTTGCAGAAACTTGGAAATTTTGTCGAATTCCAGTAACATTTCCATATAACAAATGCGCCTTTCCATGCACCTTACTGAAAAGCTGTATTAAGCACAGTAGTACAATGCCCGATCGCATTTTGTGAACTAATTTTTTTTAGTATCACGTCTAATATATTTTTTTGGACTTTGATTTGATATTTTTATCTAATCAATAATTTAAAAATTCTACTCGTACATTCTAAATAATTAACTGTGTAAGTGTCTATATCCTGCAGAACTACCTGGTCTAATAACTTCGACTCGAACGTCCTGTATATGACAGCGGAAGAATGGATAGAGTTAGGGTTTCTCCGACGTGGTTGCGTCAATAAATTAGTAAATTAGTAAATTAGTAAACTTATAATAAATAAAATGCTCATTGTGTGCTACTGGACTGGAGATTACATTTAATATAATTATCATTTTAAAGTTATGTCAATATACAAAATTGCGTGACTTTTTCCACTCATGATAAGATAAAATAGAGTAACTGAAATTCGACGTTTGTCGTTTGCAATACTTTTTGCAGTATGTGAAATGTGGACGTCAAATTTGATATTTATGTTAACTTGGCTTAGTAGTATTGTAGGTTGCAAAACAAATTTCCTGTATGCTAATATTACCGGCAGTGGTGAAAATGTTACAGTTAAAGCAACGTGTGTTTGTGATGATTATAATGATGCAATTGCATGGATTACACCACCACAAACTGAATTCCTAGAACTTTTGTCAGGTAAACATTGCAATCTTAAATAAAATATCGTAGAAATAGAATTTGATGTTATAGCCAATAAGACTTTGAGATATGTGAATTTTGATTGGGCTAATAAGATATGGTTCGTTCAGCCGGCCTATAGAGGATTGTTTGGCCCAGTTCTAGATTATACATGGGAAAGTAAATTATTTACAATTCAAATTTTGCTTAGTTTACATCCTTATAATGACTTTTATAATCTAGATATGCCAATCTTTTTAACCAGAGCGACTACACCTGGAGAACAATATGAATATAAAGAAATACGTGACATTCAAATACTTAATCAACTCGAATTGAATTTCTCGTTTTTGGGGAAATCAAACGCACACATTTACTTATGTTCAGGTGTCCTAAACAATGCCAATTCTTGCTTAGTTTTTATTTTGGGCAGCGGAAATGGAAACAGAAGTCATATAAAACTATGCAAATATAATGCAACAAAAACATGCGAAAATTTGATTGAAGAAGTAATTCTCACATTTGCATCAAAATTTAAGCAAATATTTAATCAAGTTGTTTCCAGATTATACACGATCATTTTTTCTCGGAAAATAATTGGAGCCAGATAACTATACGATACTTAAATCAACAATTGCAAGTGATTGTCAATAACAAACGCTTGATATCTCTCAATTCCATGAATTGGAATTACACAATCGAGTTTCAAAAATATACAAAAGTATCAATTCACTCAAATACTGAGAATGCATTATGGAAATATCATGAATGTATAAAACAAACTTAATGTTTTTAACCAAACTAATTTTGTACATAATTTTAGATTCATATTATGAGGATCGAAGAATTCATTTAGCGGAAAGATCATCTACTAGTTTAATGTTTCACGTAAAGTCAACCTATTTATGTATTTCATTTTTCGCAAATTTTCAGAAAGAAATTACGATTCAACTATATGATCACTCTGAGAGATTGATTGAAACAGAAAAATATTCTTGCAAACACAGCACACAATGGAATTACAAAACATTTAACACACCGGTACACGAAAATCATGAATATTTTATAGTTTTACAGAGTAGCTATGGCGACATTATTGCAATTCGTGATATGGTTATTCATGATGATTGCAATACAATGGATCGATTCAATCATCACATTTCGAGTTTGTCATTTAGTTTAGCATCAATAAAAAATATAAAATGTTCATCACTTCGACATAGAAGCAAGCATTTAACAATACATCCAGCAGATAATAAAAGTCACTGCAAAATTTGTAGTGCTAAATACCATAATACAATACAAAATTCACATCGAATAATATGCAATGAGCAACTTTGTTATTGTTCAAATGGATACATTGGAAATTATTGCGAAAAACGTAAGATTAATGCTGACATCAAAATTGGCAAAATTGCATTTGTTTTGTTACAGAGTGTGAAGATGGACGTTATGGATGTAATTGTGTATGTAAATGCGGAGAATGTGTCGAGGGCTTATGCAATCCAGTCAATGGGGAATGCAACTTAGGATGTAAAAATAATTATATTGAACCCTATTGTATAGAAAGAAATCTGCCAGTGATAACTGGCATTGCATCAATTCAATCTGATTGTGTCACAAATTGCACAATAAGAATATATGACAAAGAATTAAAATATGATGGTGCACAGGAACCACAATATTATTACACTCGGTTAATTCATCCGAATAACACTGTTACAGAGAGACAAATAACACCAGTTAAAGTCAATGTTATTAATTTTACCAATTTAATTAAAGATACCAAATATAATTATCAGATAGTTCTTTGTGTTGGCGAGAAAAAATCAACGTGTTTTAAACAAGAATTGACAATATTTCAATTTGAAACTACATGCGATGGTATTTAAAATCTATCTTAAACTATTTTTTTTATCTATAAACTGTTTTAGAACTGCACAATTACCAAATTATAATTAAAAATATAGAAAAAGAGACCAATATATATGTGGAAAATTACCAGCCTGTAAGAAATTGTTTCATACAGAATTATCAGATGCTAATCCTTGATGAAGCTGGTAACACAGTACAATCTGCAACACATTTGGAAGTGAATAATACTGAATCATCATTGAAGATATTCACAAATTACACTCTTCGTTTGATCAGAAACAACAAAATAACAAATAATATCATGTTTACCACAGACGAATCCAGTGAGTAATGATAACTTACGACGATTATAATATATTATTGCTTGTTTGTTGAAGAACCCCTTGGAGTGAACGATGTAAAAATTACCTCAGCATTAGCCAGTGCATTTAAAATAGTATGGAAAGAACCGTTGCCTGTTCAGGGAATAATTACCCAATATCTCGTGGAGTGGAAAGTATGTTGGAATAGAGATGATATGTTTCTACTTTTGAAATCATATTTTTGTTCTTAGTTTTGTGGGGAAAATGATTGCTTAATTGAAAATGAGGAGCATGAAATGCAATCGCGTAATGTGACGGCTGCAGCAATTGAGTTAAACGATTTAAGTCCCTGTTCCGTTTACGAGATATCAATTTATGCATTTACTAAAAAGGGAAGAAGTGAGGTGGTAAAGACAACAGCATATACGGATGTAATTAATCTTGATCCGTATAATTATACTGTTAGTTCAACCGCGACTTCAGTTCAAATATCATTTAATGTTGATTGCATAAATATGAAAAATCCATCTCTGGTAATTGTAAATGTGACATGCAAAAGTGATTGGTGTAAAGGAAAAGTTAACAAAACATCGAAACAATTAACTTATAAGAATGATAGTGTAATTGTAGAAAATTTGCTTCCGTATACAAATTATTTGTTAGACATTTATCTGCAGTTCAATCAACAAATATCATTAAATAATTTTAAAATAATAGGCTCCCAGGATTTTATCACGTTGTCCAGTGGTTAGTATATATTTTAGATAATAGATTTATTTCATTAACAATAACTCTATTTTCAGTTCCACACAAAATACCATTTGCTGATGTATATAGTTTATCAGAGACATCTTTGTCCATTCGATGGAGTGCACCTTATCCTCCAACTGGAAAATTGGACACATTTATAATTCAATACGGTTATAATACCGAGAAAGAAACCACATTTCAAAACGTAACAGTTTTAACAAGTTTTTGTATAATATGGCCGGAATTGTTTTGTCTGACATTAACTGACTTAAAATATAACAAAACATATACAATATCAATAACTGCCCAGAATCAGGGAATACCTTACAATGCATCGGAAACTGTATTAAGCGAAACAACATTAGTAAAAGGTGACAGTGGCAATAAATTTGAAAGAATACTAAAATATATACTTTGATAATACACAGTTCCACAACCACCACAACATCAAATCGCTTTTTGGAGCTCGACGCGATTTCTGCAATTGGAATGGAAGCATCCAAATAAAACAAATGGGCCTCTTCTGGGGTTTGCAATCAGTATTAATGGTGAAAAGTTTTTTCATAAAGGTTTAGAGAATTTGACCTACACTTACCAAGTAAGTAAAAATCTATAATATAGAAATGAATTACAAAATCTGTTATTACGGTGAGAAATATTTGAATAATTGCCAGGTAAACTCTAAAGCCAGCCCTTTTCTATAGGATAAAAGTTCGCATTATAATTCAATCATAGTTATAGTTAAATAGTTGAACAAGAGATGGCGCGTTGAGGTTCATTTTTAGCAATTCTTTATATACGGTGGAATCCCGGTAATCCGGACCCGGCTTGATCCGGCACCTCTTGTAATCCGACGTGGTCATATGCCATATGTTGTCTTAGGTACTTTTCTATAATCCGACAAATTTGCTCATCCGACACTGCCCTGCAAAGTGATTGTCGGATTACCGGGACTCTACTAAAATTAATTTCTTTAAAATAAAATTACGAATCTTATTTATCGAATTGGCACATACTATGTCTAAATCAAGATAGTACATTTTTATTTATTAAACATTACCAGGACGTAGTTGCGGAAAAAAGCTAGTTCAAAATAAAATTATAATTTATTTCAAAATATTAATTATTATGTGAAATGCTGATTTTTTTCAGACTCAATTTCGATGTGAACCTGACAACTACCAACCCACAGTAACAATACAAACCGTTAACTCATTATTCAGTTCCGAATTGTTGAGTGATCAGTTTATCTGTCCTATTCTTCAGCCATCATTTTCTTCTTTGGCTTTTGTGAAACAGATAAACTGCCACAATTTCACTGTGTTACTACCAACAATTGAAAACACTGAAACAATTAGTTTTCTGTATATTGTAGTGCTTACCAGTGAACTGGACCATACAGGCGATTGCAGAGATAGTATTAATAGTATTCACGATTCTCTTATTTCAAGTAAAGAAAACCAAACATGTTGGATAGTTGAACACTACGAACAACATGAATACAAAGAAATTGAAGACACAGAATTAAATATTAACATACCAGAAATGGCAGAATTTAATTGCACTGAAGAGTTGTATGAAGTAGGCGTATTGATTGTCAATGAATTAGGTGACCAAATATCATCTAATTGGTATCAACTAGAATTGATAGAAATGAGCTCATTGGAAGTGACTGAACTTAGTTTGGTAACCATCTCATTGCTTGTTGTATTCTCATCATTACTGGTGATTATAATAATTGTGGGACCTATGTGTAGGTATACATTAGGAATGAGCCACACAAACAACCGCAATGTTGTGTATTCTGAAATACCAGTATTGCTCAGTTCATCACATTACATAACTTCGGAAGTAATACCGCCACCACTTCCTATGAAAAAAACAAAGTCGGCCGCAAATATCAATGAAAAATGTTCTCGTTTAGTTGCATTAGCCGATTTGCATGAATATGTGAGGGATCTTGCTGAAGGGGATGATTTTATTGCGCAACATAAAAAAATTGTAAAATTGACTCCAGTTAATAATGAATATCAAAACAAGTTAGAAAATGATCGCGAATTTAAAGAAATATATGCCCTGCGTTGATTAATCTGTTATAGTATACAAGAAACAAGTGGCTAAACGAGGGGAATTGCAGATGAGATTTCATTGAGAGCGAGCGTATCGAGCAGCCCCTCTAGACAAGGTGGGGACTCGACGCCGGTGCGGACCACCCCTATGCCAAGGACCAATTTTTCCTGGAAATTCCCGCTTGCACCTAATGGCGCACATATCGACACCCAACGGCAGTGCCAGACCAACCAGCCCGTGCGCGGCGAGACTCCTGAAGCTCAAGACAGGACGGACGGCCGTTATATTTGTTGCCGAAGCATGGTCACGTCGCCCGCTATTGCCATTCGCCTCCAGTTACCGCTTCGAAGTTAAAACAGGAGACCTCCGGAAACCAAGCACAGTTCTACGTCGCCCTACCAGGAGAGGGATTTGGCAAGTGGCAAGAAAGCCTCCAGGGGTTGGGAAACCCCTGCACAGTGACGGCATACGTCGATCCGGGGAATACCGTGTGCACGATCAGAGAGAACATCACGTTGGCAAACCGGACTGAAGGTGCTGCAATACGTGACCTCTTTGCGAGGTTTTGGTCAAAAGACGGTGAGACCATGGTATGGTGTGCGAGCAGGTACAGCTACTCGTCGTGGAAGATGCAGCCCAGCCTTTTGACCTGTTGCTGGGGAAAACGCCTTAGATCTACTGACGTTGCTTTCGTGAAAAAACCGGTCTGGTGCTAAGGTGGGCTACAGCTCCCAGGAAATGTTTCTGGCTGACGCAATTTTGAGTAGCTCCAGGAAGGTATCAATGCACACGCTGGGAGAAGTAAACTCGTGACGGACCATACGATGAACCCGCAATTCCCGGTTCTTGTGGAGTCTGGAAACCGGTCAGCTTGGAACATCTCTTTTCTGCCGGTGCATTCCCGAATCCGCAACCCGGGAGCCAAGTCGCAGAGATCCGGGGAGAGTTGAAGTCAGCGGGGGGTGTGGACCGCCTCACCGAGATGGGTACTTATTGCGATCCAATTGCATTCGAACAGTTAAGCGTGGGTTCTTCGGACGAAGAAGTACAACAACATCTGGAGCGATTGGTGAACGACTACCGGAGCGACGTAGCGCCCGCAAACGGCAGTGGGTTGTGCTCTGAACATGCCGCTATGGACATCGCTAATTCAGCGCCTGAGCCTGTCTCGCCGTTGAACAACCACCAGCATCAGAATGGCATGTCGAACGTGTTTAACCAGCCGGACAAGCATCCAAGTCGGAGCATCGCGACAAGCATCTGATCACGAGAGTCGCAGCAAGAACCACAAGGGCTCCCAGGACAAGGATCGCCATCATAGCAGCGAAAAAGCGCTTGCACTCGGAAGTCACTGATGACTACGAAGACCAATTAAGCCAATTAAGAAAGAGAAGAAGAAGTCGAAGTTCACGCCAGTGATTGTCAGGAAGGAGCCGGCTGGCAGTTCGAAGAAGCGTAAGAATAAGGCCAAGGAGGAACAGGAGGTGTGGAAATGGTGGGGGACAGGCCAACATCTGCGCCAACAAGCGGCAACGACGAAGTGGACCATCGCGACGCCAACTACCCCTGACGACGGGGTAGCCTTTAGCCTGGTTAAAGGATTATTACACAAATTACCAAGAGCGCGGGGACGCGTCTTAGTCAGGAAGGGCCGAATGTGAAGTACGGCCTTGTGGCGTAGTCGCATGCGCGCAGCGAATGATATTTAGGGAGTGCGAGAGAAGACAGGCCAGAGGGGAGTCGAGTGGAGAACGCGGCAAAGGGGAGACGAAGAGATCTAGAGACAATGAGATGAATGAGAAAAATGAGAGACATTGTATAATTAGTGAATAAAGTAGAGAAGATTTTGAGTTTGAGACCTTATGCCGAGTTATTTCTTAAGGGGCACACCTAGTGTGACGACTTAAAAAATGGCCATTTTTTGGAATTAAATATAAAGGAAACTAGTGAGTCCACCTATTTAAAATTTTGAGGGTATATTTATACCGGTTTTGTGAATCTATTCAAAGGCAGGATGATAAAGCATTAAATTTCGCATCTAGGAAAATTATTTCGAATTTGCTGAGACACTGCAATTTCCTGTTATACCAAATAAACGACAATTTCTGTCGCAAGGCGTTCCTACTAGTACGCATACACACAAATTTCAATATAACTTTCTGCTTGACTCAATAGTTGAGTATTGGCGTTAAACAGTAGATAAGAGTCATGACTTTCCATTAACTAACTACAATATTAGATAAGCGGCGTGGCTGTCCACCTACGTCAAACATTAGAAAAGAAGCGAAATTTTTCATGAACTGCATCAAGACGGACATCAGTTGTACATTTTGTATTAATAATTGAGATCAGAAACTGTACGGTGCGAGTTCACTCTGTCGGCTACATGTCCTCGTTTTAGCTCTTAAACCGCACTCCGCTACATAGCCAAGAGCTAGTTCGTAACCGTGCCGTCCAGACGCCCGTTGCCCGCTACACATCCTCGGTCTTCGCTGCCTTACAACCATCGTAAAGACACACACGAACCAGTAACCCAAACCATCTGTACCGGCGTCGTCCACAACGCACGACGCTCCAGCGTTCACACTTACGGTACGAAACCATATGATAAAGCATTAAATTTTGCATCTAGGAAAATTATTCCGAAGTTCCTGAGACACCACGTTCGCCTGTTATATTGAAAAAAAACTGCAATGCCTAGCGTAACGAGTACTTAATAGTATTTACATACACACACGTTTTAATGTATCTCACGTTTAAAAACGGAGTGATCAAAAATTAAATTCCGCATCTAGGAAAATTATCCCAGTTATTGACCTAGTTTTCCTGTTTTATTAAAAAAAAAGTGCAATTTCTAGTGCAACAAAAACTTACTCGTACTCACACATACACATCTCACTTTACGAAACTATCTTGCAATATATTTAAATACGAGAATTAAATTTTGCATCCACGAAAATTATTCCGAAGTTACTACGATCCTGCGTTTGCCATTAAAAAAAACTACAACTTCTAGCGTAACGAGTACCCTCTAGGTCAGTCTAGGTGGACTGCGCATCTGCTTTGTCAAAGTCACGCTAAGGGAGCGGAGGCAGGGGCAAGAGTCACAACCCAGCACGTCTGCGATACCTGGAGAGGAAGTTGGTTTAATGTTTAATGGTGAAAAACCACCTAAAATATTCGGAAGACAAGCTTAAAACCGTCATCCGGCATGGTGTTCAGGTGCCAACAACTTAACTTCCACCATTCCACCTGGCGGTGTTCAGCGCCATATACATGACACTCAACTAGCAGAAGATTTACATTGACTTCCTTCAAGAACCCTGGGTACGCAAATATCAGGTATGAAGCTTCCCCACGAATGTTTGTAAATTGATTTATTCAATTAACTGTCTGAGGCCAAGAGCAGTGTTAATGCTCAGGAAAGACATTAAACATATTCCTATCCCAAAATTCACCACGGGAAACCAGGCGGTGGCAGCCGTAGAAATCCGAATAGTAGGAGGGAAGGGGCATATAATCATTGCCTCTATATATCTGCACGGTAACGAAGACAACCTCTCACTAGAGGCAATCAAATGCCTTGTGGAGTGGTGCAAGAGGAATAACAGGCATTACATTCTCGGCTGCGATGCCAACGTAAATATTAGAGGTAAGCAACTCCTTGAGTATCTATGAACTAACGATGTAGAGGTCATTAATAATGGTAACAAACCCACCTTAGTTAACGCCATCAGACAAGAGGTTATCGAGCTAACCGTAGCTGACGCATTTACGGAGGGTAACATTCAGAAATGGAGAGTTCTAGAGGAATCATCAGTGTATGACCATCCAAAGATAGAATTTAGCTTAGAATTAAAATTTAGCGGCAGATATTGAAACAACGGAGTGCAGAAACTCTAGGCACACCAACTGGGAACTCTACCTTGAGTATCTCAGGGAGGAAACCGAAGGATTGCGCCACAAGATAAATACAGCTATAAAGATGCTGTCCCATAAAAAAGAGACAATTATCCAGAACAGTGCTTTCGGGGAACGCTGAACTTGGGTACTTAAAGAAAACGGCAAGGAAAACTTTCAATGAAGCAAAGCGAACAGGCAACTGGAATGCCTATCGAAGCGCACTTACTGAATACATGAGATAACCACCACTGTAGAAACAGTCCTGGAGTGCAAGGAAATTGCACTTGGCACATTAATAGATATTGAGGGAGCAATGATAACACAACCCGACTATCTATAAAGGAAGCAGCCATCCGAATGAGTATTGACTGTCACACAGCGGATTGGGTTGACAACATGCTACCCAATCGCAAAATCACTGCAATACTGGGAGGTGTCCAACGGACTGCTACTACAGAAAGAAACAGCCCTCAAGGGCGGAATTATCACCTCATCTATGGGGTTTCGTCGTGGTCGACTTTCTAAAAGTGCTCAAGGAAAACGGATTTTAATCGATCGGGTACGCAGATGATATAGCGCTAATCATCAGGTCAAAGTTTGACGCAACGACACTCTCCATTATCAGCAGTTGGAACAAACAGGAGGGATTCAACGTTAACAGTTGTTATTCCGTTTACGAGAAGAAAGAAGCTGCAATTAAAACCTCCTAAACTAGACGGACAAACCATTAAAATGGCACAGGAAGTTAAGTATCTTGGAATAACCCTTAGTATGAAACTAACATGAAACTGGGATCTGAACAAGAGTATAAAAAAAAACAACAGCGTCATTTTAGACATGCTGCAAGCTATTTGGGAAAATATAGGGGCCTAAAATCAAATATGGTTTTGTGGTATTATATAGCCATAATCAGATCTATAGTCACCTATGGTTAATTGATCTGGTGGAACAAAGCCAAGAAAAAGAAAACCCAACACGTGCTTCAAAGATTCCTGAAGCAAGCATGTATATGAGTAAGAGGGGCAATGTAGGTCAATCTACTTCCAAGATCTACTTCCATTGCACAAGCAACTCGAAAAAGAAGGCTTGATATATGCGTCCAAGCTAAGGTG